TGGAAAGACCTTTGGAAAACAAGTAATCATTCCTTTAAAAAAAAAAAAAAGGCAGTTAATAATCAGTTCTACTCGAAGCCAAATAGCGAACCGATCACCTGACGTGAATCACAGCAATGAATTGTGATAATGAAGTTTTTTTATGATTGGAGAATTACTAGTGATAGTCTAGGTGTCGTAAGTGTCGTGATAATTAAATCGAGTATTTCGGTGAGAATTTTTATTTACCCCCAACCCTAGCGCGTAGACTACCAATTAAATAAAGAACTTTAAAATCGTCCGAGTCTTATATGTATTACTTTCTTGACTTTGAAGTGTATTTGAATCATTTAGTCAGTTATGAGCAATTTAAAACGACAAACTCGCGCAAATCAAAGAGAAACAGAAGCACTATAAAAGAAAACAATTTTATTTTTCTAATTCATCATACTCGTAGTATTGGTAATATCAATCAAAAGCAGTAATACAAAAGTATTACAAGAATAAGGCTGAACGTGTTTACTTCCTTGGCAGCTGCCGCGCCGTCGCCGACGAGACACAGCGCCGCAACGACGAGAGTTTTTGGCGCCAAATTCCCTCTGCCATTTTGTCACATTCACATGGTTCTTGACAATAAAATAATTGTGATCCATTATTATACGACCTCATTAGTTGTACCTAGTTTACTTGGATAATTTTCATGGCCATCTTCAAAGTATTAAAGGTTTTAAGGAGAGTTCGGGCATAGTGAGCTGTGGATTCCTGGTTTTTTTTCACTTTATTTAATTTATGTAGGTATAGGTATTTCGTTTTGAGTTAGAAAGTGCCTAAATAAAAACTTTTACAGTGCTGTGTTTCCTCTGAAACAAGTTGTAATATAGGTCCCATTATTCAGAACAGCTAAAAATTGTCGAAATAACAATGATTATAAGGGAGCGATTATACGACCTTTTTGAGCAAATGAAATGCGCGGCTTCGGACTGAGCGGCGCGCCGGAGACGTCGCCACTGCACCCGCCGCGCCGCCGCGCCGCCCGGCACCACTCCTACGCGCGCCGCTCGCCTCATTACTTAAACAAGATATGGAGCTCTTGTATCTATTGGACATTATTTTTTTGAGGCTCGATTCAAAAACAAAAATTTAGGTAATATAACCTTTTAAAAATAATAATCTAAATGTTCCAATAAGTGTTTAAATATATAATGACTTGTACTTATCGCAGGCGCCATTTCTATTAATAACTTAGGCTTAGGCTCACAGTTGCCCTGATGCTATGTTAGCGGTATCAATATACATATATTTCGATACCAATTTTCGTCTATTACGCTCTTAAAAATGGAAATAGTCTTTGGTGTTGAATTTTGTCCATATCACGATTCACGATATACTCGTAATATAGCAGGTTCAAAAGTTAGCTTTAATATGACAAGCGTTTGTCATTACACTACATTAGCGTACTACAAATGACTATTGCTTTTTGTGTAAAAGATCCCCTACCACCCAAAAATAAAACAAAATTTAAGTAATCAAATATAATATTTCATGCTTATATGCATAATATCAATAATATATCTCATGCTTATTAGGTACTTCATTAATTGTTATAAAATACATTAATGTCTAAAGTGAAATTAGACGAATTAACCATCAGCATCACAATTCAGTTGCTAATATAGGTTAGGAGCATCCGATGTGTAGCGCCGCGGCGGCGGGCGCCGGGCCCCGTGCGGCGTCGCCGGCGGCGGGCGCCCAGCTCTGTCGCGGCCCCCAACAACAGACAACACCTCAATTACTTCTCATTTGCACTAGTTTCAGTTGTCATGGGTTTCTGCACACCGCTAAAATGTTGATTCTATTAACTCAGTCTATTTCAACTTTCCTTATTTTTTTATCGAATTCCATAATTATTGCACAAAAAACAAGAAAAATACTGTCCTGATTACAATCAAATCAAATCTTACAGATAACAGAAATAAGTTTTAAACCGTTTGTGGTTCAGTGTCCACTCGTATTGGACATATAGTCTTACATTACATTAGTCTTACGACAGCAGCAGATTATATTATTAATGTATCCGTTGAATCAATAAATCACCACAAGAGATCCGCTCGTGGCCCGAACGAATAAGTAGTTGTCTTCGTGGCCACACACGACTGCTCCAACCGTTTTTGAGGGTTTGCATTGCATACAATTGTTATACCGGTCACTCACATTCGCACGAATACGCAGACCCGCAAGTGTAGGACGACATTTGCAAATGATTATGCAAAGTTTTCGCCGCATTCGTGGTTTTCCAAGCTGTGTCGGTTTTTTAACAGACATCAAAGCGCGCGAACCGCGATCCTTCGCGTATAGTCTCCCACTCTTTCGTGTGACCAGGATTGCGAAGGCAACGGACGTATCGCTATTTTCATAGATCGTGACGTCTACTGTGTAGCGTATCTTCATCAAAAGAAATCCCATAAAAACAGCATGGCTGTTAATGATGTCTGGGAAAGAATTCAAAACTCTTTTTCTCTTCAATGTTCTATTGACGAATTAAAAAGGAGGAGAAATTCGTGAGACATTCGTAAACAAGTGTAGGAGGAAGCGCAAACGGGTTCCCAAATTGAGTACCGAACCCATTTGCACAGCCGCTAAGTTTGCGAATGAATGTTTGACGGCCACTCACATGCGCGCAAACATTCGTACAATGTACGAATATTTGCGAGCATGTAAGTGGCCGGCATTACGCTCATATAATCATACAAACCATCAACGCCATCAATAAAAAAATTTAGGAACTTGCTCAAGAACAAAATGTCAATAAGAAAACAAAAGAGAAAATTACTTGTTAAATATTACTTCTAGTAATAATTTTGTTTTCCCATTCGTGTTTAATGTTCATAATAATAAAATAATGTTTATTAAAATATGACAAAATATCGGTAACCTCAATTGAGCCACAAAGTTAAACTTCAAGCCATGTCACAATTTGTTCCTTAAAATTTTATCTAAACAGTTGAGCAAATAATGATTTATGTCAATCATAAAATATGTAGTTGGGAAACGGGAAAAAATAAACAATAGTACCGGAGGGGGGGAGGGAGTTGAATCGTAAGCATGCAGGAGACATGTCGCAGAAAACAAACATGATGTGATGAGTAGCTCAGTAGCCGGTGCAAGAGAGCGCTTGTTTGCGAGCGACGCGGCGGGTGCCGTGCCGGGCTGTCGGCGCCCCGCCCTCCCCGCTTCGCTCTGACCACGGCAAGGGTGGCAGCGGGAAAATTGTAACGTCTGCTGTTAAAGATCTTATGAGAGCGCGTTAAGACTACTTTATTGTAAATTATATTACTATATACCCTCACTATTGAATTAACGAATGAATATTATTAAAAATGAATCGAAGAGTGATGAAATGGTGAATAAATAGTGAAACGCACAATCATAAGTATCGTTCAAACCCCGATTATGGGACGATCCATTTATCATTCCTGGTAGTTTACAATAAAAATCAACCACTACCTATCTTTCCAAAATTTTGTTTTTGATATTCGCTACCGCTTATCGCCCCGCTCAACATTCAGCACGCTGCCACCCAGAGCCCCACTAATGATTGCTCATGATTTATTTGGTGAGCTCATTTTATTGGCGACTGCTTGTAGGACCAGGAGCCGACATGACGGAAAGGTGTAGGTACAAAACAATAATACTATAATAAAACAATAATAACTCTTGAAAATTATTGTAGATTTGTAGTTAATTTATATATTTGTGTTTTTATTAATATTTGAGAAAAGTTGGTGAATTTTTATTTTTATGGCTTAGATGATTGGACGAGCTCACAGCCCACCTAGTGTTAAGTGGTTACTGGAGCCCATAGAGATCTCCAATGTAAATGTCTCCACCCACCTTGAGCTGAGTTTTAAGGTCTCAGTATAGTCACAATGGCTGCCCCACCCTTCAAACCGAAACGCATTACTGCTTCACGACAGAAATAGGTAGGGCGGTGGTACCTACCCGCGCGGACTTACAAGAGGTCGTACTACCAGTGATATCTATGTGCGGGCGGCTGCACGGGTAACCCTCGGTTCTACGGTCTCGTGCCGGGCGCGGGGGCGTCGTCCTGCAGCACCTCCCTATAATACTCTGCATTATATCGGCATACCGCCATCGCCAACCGGCATTTGATGCTGGTACCATCGTCCCGCTTATTTTTGTCGCGAATAAGTTTTGACTCTAATTGTGAGCCATACTGAAGTTGTTGTACAATATAGTTGAGACGTGGAGCTCGCGTCCCGGGGGGTGGCTACGCTCAGTGTTATCTACGGACTTCGGTCACCACTTTACACCAAGCGAGTCGTGTGCTCCTACACTGTACCGGTCTACCGGTATTATCTTTGCTTTAGAATGCGAGTTTACGCAGTACGAACGTACCAAGAAACAAGTTAATAAGAATTTAATATCTATGCATACAGGTAGCTTACCAAATGAATATTATTAACTATTAATAATGTTAGAATTTATTATTCATGAGAATACGAGAATGAAGAAGATTCGTCTCAGCTAGGACGCGCCACTCGACTTCACGACGGATTGTTGTCATTTCAAAATACATTTGTATGTCCTATTGCACATCGACTTACGTAACATAAAACATGTTTACGTGTAAAGTTGATTGTTATTATATGTTACTCATTAGAGCACAATCATTTGGTGGTATCAAATATAATATTATTATCTCCCAATGGATTTGGAAGAGATGTGAGAACTCCTGAAAGATTACAAAGCGCTGTTGATTTAAATAAAAAATTTTGGTAACGGAGAAAGAGCACGCGCTTGGCGGTGACATCTCGCCATCTCTCTCACACCTCAACAGCGCGACGTCACGTAACATTAAGCACAATGACTGCGTAGCAAATTGTATAGGTTTTAACTTAGGTATTTCTAAACTGGTCACCACTGTCGGTGCTATATTGGGTATTGGATAATAATATCATGAAGAGATCACTCGTAAAGATTGCAAAAATGAAAATATACCATTTATTTGGTAATAAAACTTTAATTTTTTTAACCAATACAAAAAATATTTCTGAAGAGGTAGATACTTCTATTTGCATTTGTACAGTTTACAGGAGTCCCAGCATCGGCAGTAAGTTTTAATATAATTTCAAATAAACCGAACGAGACAGTGCGAAAAATGCTCGGCATAAGTTTTTGTTAAAAAATATAGATTCGGCTGCAGCGAGATGTCCCCGCCCTCCGCGGACGCAGCTACTGCTCGAGCTACTAAAATACCCTCAAATAGATAATTTTAAAAATAAAACAAAAAGTCGGTTTTATATATATTGTGTAGGTCGCACGCCGACGTGAGCTGTATCACTTATTGTAGGTGTGCGTATACGTGTGTGCGGAGGGTACGCGAGGACTTTGTCAAATAATAACACTATAAGTTGGTCTGTTTAACACACAGGAGTGTCTTTTATATTTTTGAAAACTCTAAATGTATATTACACGGCTACATTAACGATTTGTTCCTGTGCTTGTGTCGCCAGCCGCGTCTTTAAATGAAGCTACTATTTACTGATCGAGTTCTCCTACTGGGCTACTGACAACCAGAACAGCGAGAAAGATATTATATACCATTCTATTTTTACATATAATTTCATTATCTAGATATTAGTCTTGTTTCTTAAAGAGAGTTATAGATTACATGAAAGTATTACAATTTTAAGTACACTCTATTGTTCTAATGTAAATACTCAATGCTTTCAACTTGAAAAAGACAAATTCATTTCTAGGACCTCTACCTATATTTTTTTTTTTTGTAAAAATACAAATAATATTAGTGTTAACTTTTTTAAATGAAATACCATCCCTTTTGACGGTAAGGCACCGCGCCGTACAGTTAGTTCCCTCTGCACCGCAATGTTGACCTACATACAGATCTATAAGGACACGAGTTATTCCTAAAACATCAAAGCGAAGATAAAGTAATTTTATTTTCAAAATATCGAATCGTCCAAACAAATGTACATCAAGTTTCAGTTTACGAACAAAACAAACTACGAAATGAAAGCGTCCGTGTTCTTCAACAAAATCTCCTCGTCGCATTATTACACGTTCTGTTCGCGAACCTTTCCGGAGGTCTGCGAGCGCATCGCTAATGGGCTGCCGGCTGTGAGTACTCGTGAGCACGTTTCCAGCCTCCAGTTTACAAGTGACGACATTTACTGTGCGCTCTCAGCATGTAATAACTAAGTAATATAATTAATTAAAGAATGGGAGAACATAATCTAGAACAGTTGGACGTCGCGGCGGACGAGCGGTTCAGTAGTTCCTGTTGAAGTTCCGGTTGCCCTTGAAGCCGCCCGCCCCCGGCGCGGAGTTCATGAACAGCTCGATGTAGCGGTGGTCCATGTTGTTCTTGTCCCGCCTCATCGCCTGCCCAACCACAATACTCACGTCAGACTACACGAACAGCGGAGTGTACAGTGTGTGCAGTGCGGAGTGTACTGCGCGGCGTGTACAGTGCGGAGTGTACAGTGCGGAGTGTACAGTGCGGAGAGTACAGTGCGAAGAGTACAGTGCGGAGTGTACAGTGCGGAGTGTACAGTGCGGAGAGTACAGTGCGAAGAGTACAGTGCGAAGAGTACAGTGCGGAGTGTACAGTGCGAGTGGTAAGTCCTCTTGTGAGTCCGCACGGGTAGGTACCACCATCCCGCCTATTTCTGCCGTGAAACAGTAATGAATTTCGGTTTGAAGGGTGGGGCAGCCGTTGTAACTGTACTGAGACCTTAGAACATATATCTCAAGGTGGGTGGCGCATTTACATTGTAGATGTCTATGGGCTCCAGTAACCACTTAATACCAGGTGGGCTGTGAGCTTGTCCACCCATATAAGCAATAAAAAAAATAAGAAAAGTGTACTGTGCGACGTGTACCGTACGGAGTGTATTGCGCGGCGTGTACAGTGCGGAGTGTAGTGTGTACAGTGCAGAGTATACTGAGCCGTGTGCATTGCGGAGTTTACATACGAAGCGTGCAGTACAGTGTACAGTGTTCAATGTACAATGTAGAGTGTACATTACGGATTGTGCTACACAGAGTATAGATTACAGACCCTCATGGCGTCTTCGTGGCACTCGAAGTCGACGTCAGCCTCTCCAGAGGGCCGACCCGAATTGTCGAATAGGATGTTGATGTTCACGGGACGGATCGGCTTGAAGAACTGCAAATATTATGTGTACAATGTATTTCACAATTTTAAAATACCTACATGAATGATTTTATGAAAGAAAGACGAATTAATTCAATTGAGAATAAAATGAGGAAAAAAGTTTCACTAATTGATTTTTTATTTATTGATATGGTGGGTGGACGAGCTCACGGCCCATTACCGGAGCCTATAAACATCAACAAGGTTAATGCACACCTAGTGCGGCCGTACCTGCCCGCGCGGACTCACAAGACGTCCTACCAACAGTAATTACCCGATGTTATTCCTTCACCGTGGAAATCAAACGTGAACATTTGTTAAGTACGTATTTCATTAGAAAAATTGGTACCCGCCTGCGGGATTCGAACACCGGCACAGTCGCATCGTTTGACACGAATGCACCGGGCGTCTTCTGCAGGCCACCATCACTCCAAAAGATTATTAGATTAGATTACAAAAATATGTTAAAATACTAGATATGAGACGAGTACTAAATTTGCGAAAGCTTATATAACGTGCGATACGTGCATGCAGAAGTCTTTAGCTTTAGGTATATGCTCACGTAAGCTATATCTTGCGCCGTGGCCCTGAAGGGCAGGCCCCGCATGTGCACGCAGTGGGTCCCGCCGGGCCGCGACCCCCCGCCCCCGCCGCCGCCGCCGCGACCCATCCCGAAATTGTTGTACCCTGTAGAGCATTGTACAAGCCTTTATGCAAGGCAGACAAGCACGAGAATAGTGTGGTTCTAGGTGTTACCCGCGGCTTGCACACGACGCGACCACAAACCCATTGATAGCCCAACCCTAATACACTTAAACTCATTTAGACTAAAATCTGGAAGCCGTAAACACTTCAATAAAACCACAATAGTTACGAGCTGTTTAACACTAAAACTACCGTTACATATATTAATTGTTCACTAGATTTTGTATTGATTTTTTTTTAATATTTTATAATGGTACCTATATATTTTTAATGTTTCTAATACGTCAAGCCGCTTCTACGGTCCCAGAAAATGGAAATACCTGGAAAAAGACTGCTTTAAAATAACTGAGTTTTCCCTAATTCTCGGAATTTGTAATGTTTTGTGTTCCTTTTTTATTATATTATTGTTGTTGTTGTATACAATCGAAATACCTTCACTCATTACAGTATTCAGTCATTTTTATTGGCAGTTGTTCTATATGGTTGAAATACTTTCAATACTGTGAACATCGTGCTGAATGTGTTTCTTTCAATTTACAGTTATCGTAGCTTACAAGGTAAGTAAATTGTGACGATTTTTATTACCATAAGGGAAAATATATTAAACTTTCAGAAACTTTCAGAAACGGCTTAAAAACGCAGAGACGTCCAAAAATATCTCAAACAAGAAATTTTTTTTCTGATTTCGTGATTTCAACCTTGAAACTGGACCAGCAGATATTTCAGAGGATCAATCAGAAGAAGAGGTGTGTGTCCTCCGACAGCAATAGCAATTAAGAAGAGACATCCAGAACGTAGGTAGATCAAGAAATCTTTTTAGATTGTCGTTATCTTCCAATGAGAATGACCATCAACTAATTAAAATTACTCCTGATGGAACTACATGGGCAAAAAATAAAATCTGAATGGACTTCAGGAAGATGATCAATAAATACTATAAATACCATTTTCAAAGCAGTAATTGGGTTCACAGCATAATATGGAATACGAAGCATAATGAAGAGCACTGTAATTAGTGCTTTTATAATTAACCGACGAATGACGGATTATATTACAACTAAAAGCTTTCAGAGTTCTTGTTGAAAAACTTGATCTCTTTCAAAAAAAGTTTTACGCTTTTGGCCTTTTCAAGTATTTTTTTAGCATTTTCGATTTAGCTGTAATAAATGCCAGAGTTTTATACAACGAAATAATTGATGAAAGTATATTGACTTTTTGTTTCAATTAGCGCGCAGTAGCAATTAAAACTTAGAAGAGTATAAATATCCATCTGAACTGAAAAATTTTAATGACCTCTTGAAGAACTCCGAGAGTTCTAATATACGAAAAACTTGCCAAATAGGTTTTTTTAATGAAAATAAAACGAAGAGTACCTATATTATTATGTGCTGGCTGTAAAAAAACGTTTTTTAAGTGTACATTAAAAAAAAAATTGTGGTGATCCAAATAATACCAACAAGATTAAATAGCACTTTCAAAGCAGACAGAATAATACAAGATCGGTAGGTACTAAACCTAAATAAAAAAAACAAAGAGCAGTAATGCCGTTTATGTAAATAGCAGTACGTACGTATTTTCAAATTTAGAATAAAATATGTTTTATTTTCTTTAAATTTATATTATTATAGTTTATATAGTCAACTAAATATCGGACCGGTAATAAAAACCGGTCCAGTAGAAATAACAACTGTTGGTAGTTCTAGTGTTAACGAATCTGATGGCTGCGCTTTACCCGCATTGGGATTCAGTTCGTCGAGTCGAGACGGAGGCTTCAGCTCGCACGAGGACCGTCGAGTCACTTGGTGCGGTTACGTGCTCGCTTGCGTAATGCCGTCCCGCTCTCACGGCACGACTGTACGGGTGAGGGGTACTCACGGGGTCCGGGGGGGCGCGCGCCGCGGGCGTAGGGCGCGGGGCGGGGCGGGCGGGGGCCGCGACACGCGCGCGCCGGGCCGCCCTCCCCGCGCCCCCCGCCGCCGCCGCCGTACGCGCGCACCTCCTCACTGTCGCTCGGGAACACCTCTATGTACCTGCACGATCAACCCATTGTTCGCTGTACTGACTCACTCCCGCTCGTTACAATAATCAATACACGGTGTATTGTAATCGCTTCCTGTCAGAAGCCCACCTTTAAAACCCCAAAAAAGTGTTCATTTACCAAACTAAGCACAAATACTGATTGTTTTAGTAAATTCATACTCCATCCTAGCCGCCTACAGCGAGCGTTCTGCCCCTGGCATTGCTGAAGTCCATGGGCGACGGTAACCACTCAGCATCAGGTGAGCCGTGTGCTCGTCTGCTTACAAGGACAATAAAAAAATAAAACATCCCAGAGTAAGCCTCCCCCTCCGCGTGCAAGTGAGTCTTCGTCGTGGGCAATGACTCCAGCCCTGTATACTACTCAGTCCGATACAGTGAAGCTACTCTTTGTTGCCTTATTCAAAATGTTCATCTGTTTCATCATTTATTCTCATATATACTCATGCGGAATTAATAAAACTCTTGAAAAGAATATAAACTAAAAGTAGTATATCGAGATTATTATTATCCTTCACTTGGCTTTGCTTGTTTGTAAATTCCTTTCTCGAGGTAGAATAATTTAACAAACAAGATCTCATTTGGTATTGAAACAAGCACCCGAGGCGTGTAGTCCATGAGCGATAGTAACCTCTCAAGAGCAGGTGGACCAACACTGCTATCTCAGATGAGAAACAACTAACATTAAATGCTATTACATATAAGTAATTTTAGTTCAAAAATATGGTTTTATTTTTCTTGGCATATTTTAATCAATAAATGATAGCTAAAAATATTTGTAGTTTGTAGATTGCTTAACCTGCCGACAAGTACCTTAAACCAAGGTGTAACAATATATCATCAAAACACGTTAACGGGATATTTACTATTCCTAAAAACTAAACCCTTTGAAAAAAAATCCTGAACAATATATAATTTTGATGCGTAGTGCTTCCCCCCGCCCCGCCGCTCCTCCTTCGGTACGCAGTGCCCCGCGCCCTCTGCCCTGCGCCCACCTTAGACAACTCAATAGCCGATCATCATTTTTGCAATGCTAACTTTATTAGTGTATAATTTTATTTTATTTCTGTCAACCCATTGTATTCTGCTCATCTTTATTTATTAAAAACAGTTTCTGTATCTCCATTGCCTGTTAATTGACCTTCATTATCATTCTCCTACATCAGAAACTAGTGATATGTAAACAGAAGAAAGCCTTTGTTCCACAGAGGACCACCACAGGCTCATAAAAATCATCAGACATAAATTTACAAACACTATTATGCCAATTTTGTACTCATTAAAAATTAGGATATTAAATAACTAACGGCGGCCTTTATATATCATTGCAACGTATCCACTGTATCTTTAAAGTGATTTTATAATATAGCTTCACTTACATTTAGGAGGTGGTATTTTTTAAAATAACTGAATTGGATATAATTTAAAGGTCAATCAACATTGTTCTGTATTGTTTCAGTTTTACAGACATTCAACTATGTGTAAAATATAATAAAAATGTATGAAAGATAGCATTGACAGTAGATTTTCAATAATTTCAGTGCTGAGTTGATGGGCTGTCTCAAGTTTTGAACTAAGCACCACCAGTCTGCTATAGGTCTATAGGATTCCACGGGAAACCTGTTTATCATCCACCAACATTACTTTGTTTATATTCTGAGATAAAGTCAGACCCATAGCACGCAGGTTTAATACTTAACCCTCTACACCAAATAAAATGTTGCTGGCTTGGGTGGTGTACTGGGGTCAGAGTTAACAATGATTTAATGTTCACTTTGTCATGTTATTCTTTCATTTACAATAACATAGTCTTGAAAAAATAGTCAGGGTGATGAGATCTTCGGTTGTGTAATTGATTGTTGAAATCATTTTGCTTGTGTTTTTATGTTGATTGATTCATGTATTCAGCTGATTACAGCAACTAGTCAACTATAAAATTCAGATGGCTCTTCCTTACTCTGATATTTTTGTAAAATATAAAGTCATAATCATTGAGAATCCCAACACACCAGTCTCAAGGTCCAAACAGCAACACTTTTAAATGAACATCCCCCCACCTGTGTCCTATTTTCTCCCTGTCTCTGATGAGAGCCTCTTGTGCGCTCTCCTTGTCTACGAAGTATACAAACGCCTCGCCCGAAGCCCGCCCCGTCTGATCCGAGAGCAAGTGGACACCGTCCGGTGCCACCGGAATACCTGGTCCCCGCATCACGTGCAAATAAACATTATGTTATGTATTGTACTCGGTCCTTGATGACTTTGCTGTGGCTCTATGGCATGTTTGAGAGTTAGGAACTGGTTTCGGATACTTCAGATTTTTTTATACACGCTAATGAGAATACTAATCGCAAGTTATTACAATTACTGTGTAATTTATGACAAGTTTTAATTAGGTGTCAAAGTATGAGTAATTGAAACAAATGTATTTTTTTTAATTAAAATAATTTAAGTTTTGCATTTTGCCACAGCATCACCATTCAAAAACCAAAAATTTTAACCCCAAGATAATAATAAATGCTGAGTGTTCATAACTGTCACTTACCATCAAAGAATTGTACAATTTCTTCTTTGGAGCAACCATAAGGCAAGCCCCGGAGTTTCACAATACCCATGTCATCAGAGACAAATGGAACATTGTCAAATCCATTTTCATTTTGCCGCATGGCATTAAGAGCCCATTCCATGTCTTGCCGATCAGTTGCAAATACTGAAAATTTTATTTCCACATTGATATATGATATATGGTAATTTTATGAAATCATATAAAAATTTAGTACAGCATTAGTTAGAACTGGGCCCAAAAAAACCACTTTTTGGAAAATAATTTTCTATTTGACACTTTGATATTGATGTTAGCATCCACACTGCTTTTATTAGCATTAAGTAAGTATTTACATCATTTTCACTGAACTAACATATAGGTAAGAATAAAATTACTATTATTCACACAAAATAAAGGTGGCACTATTACCACAGAAAAAATGGATCACAAATGATAGTAGAACTGGTCACTAGTTAGACAATAAGTTTGGAGTATTCATGTGTGCAATTTTATAATACAATGTTTCAGTCAATTTTGAAGGATACACACTAACATAACAGTGAAGGCAGGAGTAGAGTCCTAAGAGTAATTCAATTTAAGAAATGGTGTTATATTGATAGATGGGTAGCACCATACTACTTCTAGTATCTTGTTGATCATGTATTTGTGTTTGCAGGGTAGAACAGTGAGCAGTTTTAAATGCATGATATATTATGAAGAAACAAATAATCCAAAGTGAAGACAGATAGACCCTTCATCCACATTCACAAAGCAAACAACACCTGATTTTAAAAATTGGGATGCAAATAAATTGGTCCAATATAATTTTTTGATGTCTATTACTTGATTACATTTGAGGAACATAAATCTTCTGTTTGCAGGAAATATTCTTTTTGACCCTCTCATAGTAATTGTTTATTAATATTGTAAAATTTAGGTGATTTTAATCGAAGCCTAGACTAAATACATATCTTTTTTATGCACAATTGAACAACTGAATATGAAAAACAACCCCATTCACTTCTAAAAATCAATAATAACTCAAAATCTTCAAAACTTACCTTCAATGTATCTTTTTCCTAAATTTTCCTTGTCTTTTTTGAGTGCAAGGTCCACATCCTCTTGACTTTCAACTTCTACAAAGCATTCTCCTGATGGACGTCCTGGACGTATTTCAGTTAAATACACACCTATAGAAACGGGATACTTTGCATTTAATCCTTTTAATAAATTGTTTTTTTATCTATGAGCACAAAAGTTGTTAAATAACTGTAGAAAATTGAAACAGGCTATAGGTAATTTTTAAATATATATTTTTTTCATAAATTTTTCTATATTTGATAAAATCGGCTTCTTATTTAGGTCAAAATTAAAACTTATTATTTACCAGCTTTCCCATCAACTATTTTAACCCCGTTTAGAAAATCGATGACATCTTCGACGGTGGTGGAGAAAGGCAGGCCACGCAATTTTACAATATAGCCGCTATCTCCCGACCCCAACATTGCTCCTGCTATTAATAATATAGAGTAAATTATATTTTTGAAAACAAAAGTATTTTAATTTTTAACTGACAAAGAAAGATTAGAAATTATTCTCGAAACAAAACCAGCGAAACCAGAGACTTCATCAGATTTCTATTGCTTTTTTCGTCTTTGGATAGGCCAAAGAAACTTGCCCGTATATCAAACTTCAAAAGGAAGAAGTAATATTTATTTTAAAAGTGTATTTCACTAACGTAATAAAGTTGTTGAAATGGAATTAAATTAATTAAAATGGGACAAAACCGAAAAGGTGATATTTGTTAACATGAAATTTAAAAATATTTTAACCGTTTTGATTTATATTTTCACATTTATTCACTTACTGCTTAGTCTTTCCTTTAAAAAAAAAGAAAAAAACTAGTGTCTCAGTTAAAAAAATATATATTACAAAAAAAAACAGGCAGTTGAGCACACAAATTTGTAGGGTGTGGTTGTACGGCCGATCTGACTCTCCCTCTGTAGGTTACCCTCCTGAATTCCGGCAGCCAACGGACGTGGGTTGACCCGCTGAAGCACCACGTCTGGACTCCTGGAGGTTTCCTGGGCTGGCTAGATCACCAGGGTACGGGTTACTGGGCGGAGATGACCTTTTCAGCACACGCAGTTATCGGGTGAAGCAATAAGCAAGAAGCGTGAAAAAGCAGCTAGGCATGAACCCTGGAAGCGATAAGACCAATTTCACGAACTGGTTTATCTACCTTCCGATCTGGTTGACCAACGAGAACTCGAGCAAGGTACCCACATCTTGTGGCGAGATTATCGTGGTAGTGGACAACCAGAACGGAGTAAATTCACAATAAAAAATGAAAGCAAAAAAACAAGTGAAATATAGCTGTGCATCATTAGCAAAAAAATAGAAAAGAAGTAATGCGTTAAAAAATAATAATATGCCATTTCCAACTCACCCTAAAAGCGGGGTCGAATCCGTTTATTTTAATCGTGTTAATATTAAACAGCACACGATATTGCTGTACTAAATATATTTTTTAAATAAATTATTTGTAGGTAAGTCGTCTAGGTTTGAAAACGAACTTTAACTGAACTCGAATACAAACGTAAGACTAATAAGGAAGTCTAGTGACGACTGCCGGCGGCTGCGCAGTGTCTGCGCCAGCTGAACCTACGTCTCGGGGGGAGGTGGGAACTATTGTTCTCACCTCAGCGGTACAGTCGATAAAATAACTGCTTTGAACATAAATACTTTTGTTTTAAGGTTTTTTTTTTTTTTATCTTTTTATTTTGCAGACAATATCAGTTGTAACATTACGTTACAGTTCACAGATATTGATTATTTGATAATACCACTATATTGTATTCTTCTTCTTCTCAGTCGTTCACTCCTGGCGGAGTGGTCGTGGTTACGTAAGTCTTAATGTTTGGTCGTCTTATTGTATACGTTTAAATAAAAAAAATACCCTAAACTGAAAAAATAAAGCAACTGCAAATCATAACCATACTCACACCAAAAAGTTCCCAAACAAGAGATGTATCTAACTGTTGTTAAGATTTTAATTAAATTTAATATATCCCTATTTAGCACTGGCAAACAAATCTAAGAACATCGGCAGAATATCACAGAATAATATCAAAAAAGATAGAAAAACTGCAACTGCTTGACAGACAAGGGGAATATGCCAGGCTCGTATTTTTTTAAACTACCTAATCACCAGTAAATTTTCTTGAAATGTACTGCAAAACTTAAACTGAATAAGTGGTGAGCAAGCTCACAAGACTGAGAGGCGTTGCTAATATCCAGGGCCGGATTTAAACTTAATGCCGCTCCTGGACATAAGAAAAAAATCCACCCCAATACTGGAATATTACTTAAACTTATATTTTATATATTATGTTACGGAAATGTTCTTTTTTTTTTTTTTATTGCTTAGATGGGTGGACGAGCTCACAGCCCACCTGGTGTTAAGTGGTTACTGGAGCCCATAGACATACACAACGTAAATGCGCCACCCACCTTGAGATACAAGTTCTAAGGTCTCAAGTATAGTTACAACGGCTGCCCCACCCTTCAAACCGAAACGCATTACCGCTTCACGGCCGAAATAGGCAGGGTGGTGGTACCCACCCGCGTGGACTCACAAGAGGTCTTACCACCAGTAATTACGCAAATTATAATTTTGCGGGTTTCATTTTTATTACACGATGTTATTCCTTCACCGTGGAAGTCAATCGTGAACATTTGTTGAGTACGTATTTCATTAGAAAAATTGGTACCCGCCTGCGGGATTCGAACACCGGTGCATCGCTTCAACACGAATGCACCGGACGTCTTATCCGTTAGGCCACGACGACTGCACATTGGCAACAAGTTAGGTATATGTGAACTGAATATAATGTATATGTACATTTCNTTTTTTTTTTTTTATCTTTTTATTTTGCAGACAATATCAGTTGTAACATTACGTTACAGTTCACAGATATTGATTATTTGATAATACCACTATATTGTATTCTTCTTCTTCTCAGTCGTTCACTCCTGGCGGAGTGGTCGTGGTTACGTAAGTCTTAATGTTTGGTCGTCTTATTGTATACGTTTAAATAAAAAAAATACCCTAAACTGAAAAAATAAAGCAACTGCAAATCATAACCATACTCACACCAAAAAGTTCCCAAACAAGAGATGTATCTAACTGTTGTTAAGATTTTAATTAAATTTAATATATCCCTATTTAGCACTGGCAAACAAATCTAAGAACATCGGCAGAATATCACAGAATAATATCAAAAAAGATAGAAAAACTGCAACTGCTTGACAGACAAGGGGAATATGCCAGGCTCGTATTTTTTTAAACTACCTAATCACCAGTAAATTTTCTTGAAATGTACTGCAAAACTTAAACTGAATAAGTGGTGAGCAAGCTCACAAGACTGAGAGGCGTTGCTAATATCCAGGGCCGGATTTAAACTTAATGCCGCTCCTGGACATAAGAAAAAAATCCACCCCAATACTGGAATATTACTTAAACTTATATTTTATATATTATGTTACGGAAATGTTCTTTTTTTTTTTTTTATTGCTTAGATGGGTGGACGAGCTCACAGCCCACCTGGTGTTAAGTGGTTACTGGAGCCCATAGACATACACAACGTAAATGCGCCACCCACCTTGAGATACAAGTTCTAAGGTCTCAAGTATAGTTACAACGGCTGCCCCACCCTTCAAACCGAAACGCATTACCGCTTCACGGCCGAAATAGGCAGGGTGGTGGTACCCACCCGCGTGGACTCACAAGAGGTCTTACCACCAGTAATTACGCAAATTATAATTTTGCGGGTTTCATTTTTATTACACGATGTTATTCCTTCACCGTGGAAGTCAATCGTGAACATTTGTTGAGTACGTATTTCATTAGAAAAATTGGTACCCGCCTGCGGGATTCGAACACCGGTGCATCGCTTCAACACGAATGCACCGGACGTCTTATCCGTTAGGCCACGACGACTGCACATTGGCAACAAGTTAGGTATATGTGAACTGAATATAATGTATATGTACATTTCCCGGCAAATGTGTACTCTTGCCTTCACGTTTTGATAAATGTATACTCATAACTTCATATTTTAAGTAAAGTTGGAACACAAATAAATTAATAATGTTGTTGCAGTAAAAAATATTTATTTAAATAAACATAATACAAAAGGCTATAGTAACGAAAATTATTTTAATTAAAAAAATGTAAATGACAAACAAAACATACTTTTCTTTGCATATTATATAATATGTCGTAGGTTAGGTTAGAATGTATATTTTTTTTATAGTTGTGCGTATTCTTTTATCTATTCTAGCACTTGCGATTTCGTATTTTGTATGCCGCATGGCACATTCACCAAAACGGCATGGTCATTGTGAATTCAATGTACATTTCCCTTCTTCGAAATTGAAAATGTGTACATTATATATAGTAAGGAATACCCTACTAAAAAGATATAAAACCAGCGTGCAGCTCCGTCACCCGCGCATTTGTCGGTTGACGTTCGTCGAGAGAACATCGTTCAAAGACTTTAAGTATTAATTTAGGGAACACGAATTTTATAATAATGTTGAGGGTACAGTGCCTATAAATTAGCAACGCCTTTGCTCGAAACATTCCATCTGGCACTCTTCGCCGATGACACCGCCATCTACTACTCGTGTAGGAAGAAGGCGTTGCTTCATCGACGACTTCAGACCGCAGCTACCACCATGGGACAGTGGTTCCGGAAGTGGCGCATCGACATCAACCCCACGAAAAGCACAGCGGTGCTCTTCAAAAGGGGTCGCCCTCCGAACACCACGCTGAGCATCCCTCTCCCAACTAGGCGCGTCAACACCTCCGCTTCCGCCATTCGCCCAATCACGATGTTCGACCAGCCCATACCGTGGGCCCCGAAGGTCAAATATTTAGGCGTCACCCTCGACAGTAGGATGACATTACGCCCTCACATCAAGACGGTACGCGACCGTGCCGCCTTCATTCTAGGACGTCTCTACCCAATGTTATGCAAGCGAAGTAAAATGTCCCTTAGAAATAAGGTGACACACTACAAAACTTGCATACGCCCCGTCATGACCTATGCAAGTGTAGTGTTCGCTCACGCGGCCCGCACTCACTTAAAATCCTTTCAAATTATTCAATCCCGTTTTTGCAGCATCACGACCTTCCAACACTTTTCAATCTAATTTCTAAAATCAATTACACATTCTAATAAATGTGTAATAACGGTGGTTTATTAACCGTTTAATATCTGTGAAAGTGCACAAATGTGGGAAAATGAAACAAAGTCGGTGGATGTAACTTCTCGGGATCCTCCAAAAAGTCCACTGAAAAAATCTTAGTAAATGACCACTATTTTACTGAGATTATATTTCATCCCATACCATCTCATTTCATTTAATTTCATCCCAGTTAATTAAAGCCTCAAATTAATCATCTTCATTTCATTTCACTCCATATTATCATTTTTCATATATTCTTTATAAGACATAAATTAAAGGTCTTAGTTACCAGGTCATAAAATCTCTTAAAAAAATACACTTAGGTATTAGCATGGAGCATAGAGTTACTATTCTTAGGTACCGTAAAATGGGGTAAATAGGGACAA